TTTCACACTTTGACTTAAAGTTACATTGATCTTCATTAATTAAAAACTTGGCTTTTACTATCAACCTCGTTTCGGCGCCTACCAATCACCATAACCCCGACAAATACTTAAAACGGATACAAATGGAACGAACCAAAGTCTTTGAACTAATGATACAGGGCAACAGGAAAAGGCAAGTCCAATAACTGTTTCTGAGGCTTAATTTATATGCAAATAGTTTCATTATGTTTTCTAATGAACCAGTCAGTGTTTTTCGAAACCTACATGATTTAATATGTTATTGGAGAACACTTACATTGAAATTATGAAATATATGGTCTCTAGCCGTAGTTGCTATTCCATCCTCTGCAGATACTCCGCTGAAAAATCGCCCGTCTCATTCATGAAGCTTTGAAAATTTGAAAGTTTAGTTAGAAGCAAACTTAATAATTTTTAAAAATAGGCTGAAGCAATTTATAGCGGAGAAGTACCTTATACATGACAATTAATAATTCTATCTCACCATCATATTAACATATATTTTTTAGCAACTTCCAACGGTGAGAGATGACGAAACTCGACATTGGATAGTAATTCTTCCAAGTAACAGAACTGTAAATAATCGAGCAAAGAAAACATGTTTATTTCCTACAAAAATTCCTACAAAATATTTGGAAGGAAATATTTTCTACTAAAATACTTCGCATTTATTACAAAAACAGCAACGGTAGGAAAGCATAAGCGAGTTTACTACGAAAATGCGTGTGTGAAAGTTGTAGGAAAATTTCCTATCAAATTCATATAAATATTACCTTCGTAGGAAATCTGGAAGGAAAGGGAAACAAATAGTGTAAAAAAAAGCGCGGTTGGAAATTGGTAGGAAAATTTCCTACCAAATACCTTCAGGTAAAGTTTTGTAGGTAAAGGCGAAATTTTGGTAGGTAAAGGCAATGTTTTGGTAGGAAATTAGAAGGAAACGTTTTTCTTTCCTTCTCACTAATGGTAGAAAACGCGTCAGAAATATCATTCACTTTTCCTTCAAGATTACCTTTACAGTTTCCTTCGACACGATTTTGGTAGGAAATTTCCTACCAATATCTTTCTATCCTCGATTTCCTACGGGCGATTTCCTACCATTTTTTTTTAAAGGAATTCGAAAGAAATGTTTGTTTCCTACCATATTTTTACCCAAACTGTCATAGTAATTTCCTGTTTTTCTTGTAGTATATAATTATGTACATCTACATAGTTTTTTTTTACTTAGACTATAACTTTTACCAACTTAGATGAAGCGTAAGAGCTAAATCTGAGAATTTTTTTATATTTTGTTTGGTTTTAAAAAAAAAAACAGAGAAAGTGTTACCATCATATAATTTGTCATTGCTTGTTAGAAATCATCTAGAGTTTGTCAAGAGTTTTAAAAGACTACATTTTTATTGTTTACAAAAGTGACAAAGTCTGGAAATTCCAATCACACTGAAAATGGAACGGAAACAACGGAACAAAACAAAGGTACCTTACCACGTTGATCTCATTGCTGATCATCAATGCTTCATGATGGTAAAGCTCTTATGTGCTGTAAGCAATAAATTCTGTGATAATATCAAGGAAGAGTAAATCGCAGGTTTCCACTGAAGATCCTATTATCAGAGCTGTAAAAAGGCACTCCAATTATTCCATCTCTGACTCCTTGACTCTTAAATTTCAAACCCAGCCAAGAGATGTGTGATAGGGTAAGATTTGTTGAAAAAAATAATCATATACTTTAAAAGAAAAACTCAATCGTTGCTAAAACGTGAAAACCCTAAACCTTGTATTATCAACAACCATCTTCTATACGAAACTCCAATCTGAGTCAGTTGAGAGGGATGTGTGATGAGGAGGTCGTGGTAACAACACTTGTAGAACAGATTTGCAGATCTCGATCTCATAAAAAATTGTAGCAGAATAACAAAAGGAGAGCTTGAGAGGAGATTAAAGATCAAAGGTGTGAATCATAGGATCTTTTTCTTACGGGAAGAAAGAAAGAGAGAACTGAAGAGGAAGAGACATATACAGCTTAAAAGAGAGATTTTAGGAGGAAGGAAGACTTTATTTTGGAGTTGGGATAACTGATGAAGATGGAGAGTCTATCAATTGACGAAGAACGTTCGATTTTCGAAGAATTAGGATTAAACTTTGTCTTATGCCAAGTGTCATCTTAGAGTAGAATTTTGAAAAGCTGATTTGGATGGCTTGAGTAGCCTCAAATTACTCATTTTATTAGTAAGTAATGGATAAAAGTATGTCTTTTGATGTACATTTTGGGAATTTCTATCACTGAATCTTTCCATTTTTTCTCCTTTAAAATTTTAGATTATTTTTCTCTGTTGATTTTAATTTATATACGATCATGTTTAAATTATAAAAATCAAACGTTGATTACTGTTCTGCTAACAAATTTTTTTGTTAAATATTGTGGCCCCAGGAATGTTGGCAATATTATCACCTTCAGGTATAAAAGTGGAAGTACAAAATTTTCAAGGTTTACCTTGGGGTTACGTGGGAGCTGGTGTCACCTTGGGGTTTTTTTCTGAGATTTTCATTAACCTTAAGCACATGCAAAGAAATGTTTTGAATACTTTAGCAAAAGACTATTGAATGTGGTTTTCTATGTGAAATTAGCTCATACTGTCAAGTTCCAGCAAAATTTATTTAATATGATTCTTAAGAATGTCAATATAATGATGATGATAAGTTAACTTCAATTTGTAATGTTTTGTTGAAAGTTGAAACGATGATTCAACGTGAACATTTCGTCGTTGCCCTCTCCCTTCTCCCTTGTCATCTCAATGTTTTTGTTTCCGTTTCGTTTCCTTAACTTTTTGTTGCCCCTCACCACTTAAACAAAATCCATATACATGCATGTGTTCTTTGATTACCCTATTTACATAGATTTGGTGTTAAGAAAACATATATATTAACCTTATAAACTTAAGTAGATTTATCTCTAATTAAGAAACCATCTAAATCATTAGAAGTATTACTTACATAATTGTCCAATCTGCTGGAGGAACTAAAGACCAATAATCGTTTTTCTTGTTGGTAAAGAGAAAATTTTTGCATGATTGGGTAACGAAGGATTTCTAGCATATGGTAAACTAAACAAAACACGCCTTTAAATGGAAGAGCCTTTCTAAGTTTCTACAAATATAAATATTAATTCTAATATTCATCATCATCTTCTTAGTCAACACATGCAAAGCTTGATGAAACTAATTGTGTCAAGGAAGCCAAGGTTACTCACAATTCACACCAACCTATATATGTTCTTCTTTGCTTCCATCACAGTAGCATGTGACCCCCGTTTTCTTTAGTTTCCAGTTCCCTCATTTTCTCCTCTGTTCTTTTTTTTTTTTTTTTTTTTTTTTTCATTTTTCTTATCTTTTACATGTTCCTGTAGAGTTTATTTATTGTGTCTAACCACTAACTCGCAAAATGGTGAGTGTTCTTGTCCAAGTTCTTCATCACTGATTTTGAATAACGTTAAAAACTCTTATTTAACTTGGTTCTCTAGGGTATTCACTTCCAATCTTATTTCCTTCTTAGCAAATACCGTGGGATTACTCCAAAAAATCACAATCCCAAATCCAATTTTATAATTTTACACATCTAAATCATCAAACGCGTTAGAGATTTATTTTTAAAAACCTAAAATTGTTGGGGAACTAATGCCACAACCATTCTCAATGATCTGTAAGTAGTTTTCGCCGTAGTCTCAGAGGTTTTGATCAATATACTGGTGGCTCTGGTGTCGAGACTGTTCTCCAAAGCTCCTCTAGAGTAGCTGAGGTATTAGATAGATGACTTGACCAGAGAAAATTCTTAATTACATTTCATCAATTGATTATGAGAGAGAGATATGACATACCTAAGAAAAATGATGTATAGTGTTTGTTACCGCTTTTGGAAAAAAATACATTAAATATGTATATATTGCGTATTGCGCGAGTCTACTTCTAAAAATTAATACAATGAATATGATTCTTGAATCTTATCTTATGTATGTGTGTGTGTTTTCATATGCTAGGATACACATCTCTGGTAAAGATATTGAGAGCGGGATAGGAAAACATGCAATCCTAGTAGAGAAAATTGCCAGTGCAATGCTAGACTTTCTCGATTCTTTACAAATATATATTTTAGGTCTTTGCCTCTCTTACAATGCTAAACTACCGCAATTCTCGTCGTCGGACGTGAAACCGGCGACGGAGTCAACTTCGAGTTCGTTTGACTGTCATTGAATGAGGAAAAAGACTGATCAGCGTCAAAACACGGTAATGGGGAACTGTAATTTGTTGTGCAGCGTCAAAATATATTCAGATTTATTTGGATATTTGATTATCGATTTAATTAATGATAACTGCGTAAATCAGTCGTCTGGGTAAGGAAGATAATAGTTTTTATGATTAAAGTAAAGACACAAAGTAGGCAATAATAATAAGTGGTTGTTGTTATAACTTATAAGAGACACAGAGAGAATCCATGTTGATGGAAGAGCAGAGCGACAAAGAAGGCAAGATTGCTTCGTCTTCGCCTAGATTAAGGAAGAAGAAGAAGAAGTGACGAGACAACGTTTCAAAGCTGGAGAAAGAAGAGAAGAGAGATGAATATAATGATCCAGCATCGATGGAAAAAGGAAAAAAAAGAAGAAGAGAGATTGATATACTCATGATCAACAACGATTTGTTACAAGAAATCATGTCGAAGCTTCCAGTGAGTTCCAAACAGGATCGTGTCTAAACACTGGGATGCATACGAAAGTCTAGGTATTTCCGTGAGAGACACGTTTTGCATCAGAAACCCCTAGAATTAACCTAAAATTAAGTTATACCTATCGAAGTTAAGTTTGTGCTGCTTTTGTGGAACTGGCCCAATACTATTCGGCCCAAAAGAGACCAATACAAAAATTCTGCGTCGTCTTCTTCCTCGTGGCCGTCAAATTTGAAAGATGAGTTTACAATTGCAGCCTCACAAAAACCTCATCTTTTCATCAAACTCAAACACTATTGCCTCTGCTTTGAACATCACAGAAAAAACAGAGACGTTGGTCGTGAAAACCATCCACGATGCTGCCTCCATCTTCATTGGAGCCCTAAAGTGTTGATAAAACCTTTCTATGTGGTCACGTCTCTTCATTGTTGAAGGTCAGGTGGACTGGTTACGTATTCAAAGCAGCGTCACTTCATTCATACAGGTACATTTTTTAATCATGTTACCATGTGAATAAATATATTTTCTTGGTTTGCAAACGTAGTTTTTAGTTTTCCCTGATTCATCCCAACATTCTCAATATATTTTAAACTCCGGCTACAATTTCTGGTATATAGTTAATTCAAATATCTATTTGTTATATCGTTAACGCGCAAGGTAAATTAAAGTAGACTAGACATTAAAAAAATTTATGTCATTTCCAATTAATTATGAACTATATCAATAAAATCTAAAATATTTATAACTTGAAATTATTTTTAAAAACTAAAATTGTCCCATTAGCTGTATATATAAGATTTTGCGACCACAAAAAGTTACAAACCTATAAAAAAAGGTATAATACATCCAAACTCAACAGTTTATTATCCTCAAATTCATAAAATCAAAAATACCCAAATTGAAATAGAACATAGAAGAACTCTATTGAAAACCGAACCAAAACTTATAAAAATAGCGGAATGAGACTCCAAACTCTAGAATATAACCGAATAAAACTGAACTGAACTTAACCAAATACCCAAATACCCAAGTACCCAAACACAAAGACCTAATACTAGCTAGCTCATTAAAAGAGGTACAAGCTCGGTACTCCAATACAAACAATATTGGAAACAAAATCGAAACAAAAGTCGAAACTAGTCCCAAACTCACCAAAACGGCAAAACTTAATACTTAAACTCATCAAAGAAATGAAAAAGACGCTTAAGATTACTTCACCACTTTCAGCAAACATTATTCGGGAGAAAATATCAACAATCTTCAAGCTTTAACCCATTTTTCCACTAAACATTATGATGACTACTTCATCACTTTCAGCAAACATTATTCGGAGAAACCATCTCAAAATCTAAATTTACAAAATTTAAAACTACAAGGGGAAATATCGGTTAAAGCTTGAAGATTGTGAAATATGAATTTGTGTGTTTTCCTAGCCAGAATTGAATCCTTGATTGCCTGTTCTTAACTCACTTTTGCTTTTCTTTTTTTACATTTTCCCCGGAAAATAGTTTATCTTCTTCCTTGAGTCCAATTACTTTGCTAACTTCCAGAGTAATTTTTTTGATGAAATCAGATTCAGAGCTGTCAAAATATAGTATACTTTAATCCATCAAACCCATCTTATCGCTTATTGCTTATAGCATAAAGAAAATTTCATCTTACCACGCGCATATGCATATATATTTTACTATAGAGAGCATAAAAAGCAAGGGGAAGTACCTTTCATGGCTTGAACGCAAACCCATCTTACTGCAGATGGACTCCAAGGCTTCTTTCCATTCCTTGATCTGTTTTCCACTAGAGGTTTCCGCGAGCGTCCAGAAGTTTTTACCAAATTCATTGCTAAGTTTCGGGTTTCTAACATCTTTTGGCTCCACCATGTAGAAGATTGGTATGACTATGAGCTTTTCTTGATCCACTAATTCCACCATCTTTACTAATTCGTCCAAACACCACTTTGTCTCTGAATACCTATACTTAATACAACGATAATGATTCTTGAATTTTATGTGCATCTAATACTAATGAAATAATTAACATCACATTGAGAACGTGAAAGAATAGTAGACAAACCTTGTAGAGAAGATGGCTAGTGCAATGCTCGACTCTTCGATTCTTACAAATAGATTGTTTAGGTCTTCGCCTCTCTTCTCGTCTTCGTCAATGAAGAATTCAATATCGTGCCTCTGGAAGGCATCGCGGAGGTGGCTAACAAAGTTGTGCCGTACTTGATCTCCCCGGAAATTAAAGAACACTTGAGGGACCTTAATTCTCGTGGGATATGAAACAGGCGACGGCTTCAAATTCAAGTTCGTTTGACCACCACTGAATGAGCGACAAGACTCGTTGTCAAAACACTGTGATGGGGAGTTGTAATTTGCTGAGAGGCCGCAAGACCGTAATGAAACGTTGGCGGCCTTATCGACTGCTATGATGCTGAACATGATTAGCAGCAAGAAACTGTAACCTACGATCATGTTCCTCTCCTCCGTATTAAAATTTCCCTTCTTCTTTTTATTTCCCTAAAAAGGAAATAATATCATCATTATTTTTAAAAGTCCAGTACATGTTAGAGCACCTCGTGAGACTTATTTTTTTATATCGCCCAATTCTACGTGTAAATGACATGCATATTTACTCCAAATATGGTCCCAAAAATCAACTTGATTTATATGTTTCTTTTGTTGGTTTGGGGTAGCAAAAGTTATAGCTTGATGAAACCTTTGAATCGGGCTTGAGAACGTGTCCTTATGCGAAAGAGGTATTTAATTAAATATTAATAATTTTATATAATTGGTTACTTAGTTAAATCTTAATTCTAAAACATAAACTGAACGACTCACAAAAAAAACAAGTGTGTCAAGACTCAAGAGTCTCTAAAGTTCTCTTTCCTACTATTTCATTTTTACAATATTTTGATTGTTTGAAACTCAGTGAAAAACCCTCGATGATAACAGTGCTTTAACAACATTTGTATTGGTGATAGAAATGGAGTGTTTCAGTCAGATTAAAAAATTTAATGATGAATTGTAAGTTATATAAGACTAGCAAATTGGAAAAATGTTACCAAAGGCTGTTTTTTAGTAAAATAATTTATTTAAATTAGGGTATTACCATTCTATAGACATAAAAGATCAAAAAATTAACTAAATAACCATAGTCTTTTTTTAATTAGTTCTCTCTCCTACTAGTGTAAAATAGACCAAAATAGCCTTATAAGGGTTAACAAAATTTTTAGCAGTAAAACAAACAGATATCCATAAATTATTTGTTTGTTTCTTTTTACTTTAACGGTATAATTTAACACAATAACAAATGATTTAACATGATAATGATAAGTTTACCATATAAATCGTAGTGTAACATGATACAATATGATTCAATATGTTGTGTTATATTTATGAGTCTTCAATTTTTTTGTTCATTACTGTTATTATTATCTTTACCATATTGTCTAACCCAATTTTGATAGAGTAATTATATTTTTATCTTATCATAATTAGCGGTATATACTATTATTTAACATGTTATTTCTATTGTTGATATTCATGATTATATAGTAGGGGTTAACATAAAATTCATAATACTTTGTATGTGATATAGTAAATAAGTTAACACGGTAAATATAAATTTATCACATAAATCATAACTTATCGCGTTACAATATAGTTTAACACGATAAATTTATTAAGTTATTGATATATTTTTTGTTATCACGGTATTCAATAGTTATTCATCCAACTTATCACATATTTTTACTTATATATTTGATAAATAATATTGTCGATACTTATTTCATTATCACGATAAATCATTTGTTAGATACCGAAGGATATTTTTGTCATTATAAAAAATTGAGGAAAGAGAACTAATTAATAAAAGAGTGATGCTAGATTCTTAATTTTTTATTTATCTAGGTATATACTTTTAAAACACCCAAATTAACTCTAATATATAGATTGTGAAACAAAAACAGTTAGGGCACAACTTTTCTATTTGGATCGGGCAAAATGTTGGGCTGACAATTCAAGAGGAGATTAAAATACACAAATGATTTCCTTATAAGACCACTTGTCTTGATGGTATAGATGTCTTATTTTCAGACATAGAATCAGATTTACCTAGCTAGGTTAAACATGACTCAAACTAGCAGTAAACTCATCATCGGTTAGTGGCTGCACATAAGGGTTATTATTGACGTCACTGAACAACGTGTTTGGATCCAAAAGATCACACGTAGAGAAATCTCTTTTTCAGTCATCGGAATTCTCACGTCATCCATCGGCATAAAGTTCTTTCCAAGTAAAAGAGAATCAAAACAACTCAATCACGTACAAGCTTTGGGAGAAGCAAGAAATATATACTAGGCTACAACTTCTATAAAACTTAAAAACTCGGATACAAATAGATTCTTTACTCGTCATTACACAACCACAAATACTATAATTTATAAGATTTTCAAAATTTTCTTTTACTGTTGTATCGGATTTGTTAGGTATGTATAAAGAATCGAAGAGATTCTTCTCTATTACGTTTTTCTTAAGATCTTTTAATTTGTCTAACACAATATTTCATTCAATAACTTAAAGAGACAACTTATTAGTAATTTTAGAAGTGTCTGGATATTTATAATTATTAGGACTAGATGAAACGTGTGTTGTGATTCCATATTCGTAAATAATTTTTGGTAAAACCCTATCGTTTTCTAAACTCTCAGGAAAAGAGGTGGTTGCTTGTTTATCTTTTTCCTCCGATTTGGATACAAAAACCTAAGATTTAACATCAACATCCTCGTCAGGTACTGAGGTACCTCAGATTCTAACTCCGATCCGGACATTAATTGGTGCAGGCGCTGGATTCAATGTTTAAAACAATCATGTTCACGCTAAGAGTGGTCACCGTCAATATCGATGGAAAAACATTTGGGTACAAGTGTGATCCTTTAATGATTAGGGTTTGCAATTTGTAGTTCGAGTGGTGGAGGAGAAGAAAAGCCACAAAAAGGGAAGAAGAGAAGAGATGAATATGATTATCCATCAATATCGATGGGAAGGAAGAAGAATAAGAAGAAGAAGTGAAGAGACAATGTTTCACAGTAGCTGGAGTAAAAAAAAAAAAGAAGAGATGAATACTAAAGGAAACACACCTTGCTTGCCCCATCTTTCTGAGATGAACCAATCTTCATCGGTAGCTTTCGCAAATTTGGAGGTTTTTTCTCTGCTCTCTTTTTTTTTTTTAATCCTTTTATCAGTCTCTGTATTTTAAAGAGGTGGGATGTATTTTAAAGAGGTGAGATGTATTTTAAAGAGGTGGGATCGATAAAGTGGTCTGATCCAATGGAAAAATGTCTGTGGAGCAAATATAGTATTGCATATATATAAAAGTTGAGTTTAGACACTTTTGTTTGGAGAAACATTTTAGTTATCCATTTATTTAAAAAATTAAATTATTTTTTTTGACTCCTATTCAAAATATCACTATCGTACATACTCTAAGACGTGTATATATATATATATACACCTTAATGCACGGTCGTCTAATTAACTAGAGATGTTGACATCATCCTCTCTTCGACGTTCAATACAGGTAGGGAAAAATCCGGTAGGCTGGGTATTTTTGTTAATTGATGTATTCAAAATAATTTTTACAAATACAGTATATGCTACAAAACACATGTAATGTTGTATTTAACTTTTGAACTTTTAAAGTATTTATGTATTATACTAAAAATTCTTTTTTTTTAATATTGAATGTTTTATTTGTATAAAAAGAACTTACATCTACGCTTTGTCAATTAATTTCCGTTCATTTATTCATTTTATTATTTATTTTATTATTTTTTCTGAGGATTTAAATCTTTTAATTATTTTGCTGATTTTGTTTTTTCAACTTTGGCAATCAGACAAAACTCATATATCTGACCCTATCTAAATGGTATTCTGAAAAATGTTGAGGTGAACACTAATTCGTACAATATGTCTAAAAATGATCCTCAACCTCATCTTTCAATGCTTATGTTTTTCAATTTCTGTTTTGGGATGAACATGTTTATGGTTTTTGTGTTGTCAGTTTTTGAGTTATATATGGGATAAAAGTATGTCTTTTGATATACATTTTGGGAATTTCTGTCACTGAATTTTTCCATTTCTTCTCCTTTAAAATTTTAGCTTATTTGTCCCTTTTGATTTTTTATATAATAAGACAATGTTTCTTCATAACTTTGCCTCACAACACTCTATGTTTTTTACATATGTCATTTTTATTAATTTCAAATCTAACATTTCAAATTTTTTTTTAATGATATTGTGTTATAAGTTATATGTTATATGTATAGTTTGTTTTTTAAAAAGTGTCATTGTTTTTATCTGAGATTCTTCCCATCTATGCGCCTATCATATTGCCCATCTCTCTCTCTCTCTTCTCTCTAAAGCATATATGTTTTTGGTTTGGCTCTCCATTTAAAGTGGTGGAAGATTTGCTCTTACATTTACATGTAACCCAAAAAAAACAAAAAACGATATTGAGATAATGATCGAGAAAAATTCCTTCGCCCCAACCATCCTCCCCGAAGAATATGTGCTTATTAGATGGGTTACTTTTTAGGGAAACTACAATCTGTAGACCCAGATAAAAAGAAAATTAAATATCTCTCTTCAATAAAATTTTATTTAGCTTCTAAATTTTCAGACAAAAATACCCCTATATATGATAACAAATAGTTTAGCAAGATAACGTAACAAATATCAATAAATTATATATTTTTTTTATCTAACATTTATACGTCATCAGTTTTTAACTTTTACAATATGATACAATGATTCAACACGATAATAAATGATTTATCAGAATAATTTCAATCTTACCATATAACTTATAATTTTATCGCGATACAATATCATTTATACTGTTAATAAATTATTTAGCATATTAAGTTTAACACTAAAAATTATTTAGTATGTTAAGTTTATAATGTAGTGGTTAGAGTTTAGATTTTGTAACTAAACGAAGTTATATTTTGGTTTGGGTTGACAAAATATTGGTTAGGGTTTAGATTTTATAATTAAATGAAATTATATTTTGGTTTGGGTTGACAAATAGTGGTTATGGTTTAATTTTTGTAATTAAACGAAATATAATTTCGGTTTGGGTTGACAAAGTAGTGGTTAGGGTTTAGATTTTTTAATTAACGGTTTGGGTTGACAAAATTAGAGGTTTGGGTTGATAAATTATCGCGATAACGGATTATTTAACCTGTTCAAAAATAAGTTATCGAATGCTATTAATCACGGATGAACATTGTTATCAAATTCTATCAATCACAAATAAATAGTGTTAGTCTTAATTTAACTGATAATATGTAAATTATCGCGATAACAAATTATTTAACATATTTAAAAATAATTTATCGAACGCTATGAACAGTGTTACGTATCCTACTCTCTTTTGTTTGTTTTGGCTAAATCAAATCAGGGTCAGAAATATAATTTTACGTTACTGCTGGTGAGAGAACTAATTTTTGGATTATTACATCCTTACTTTTTGTTTTCATTTTATCTAGATACCAATTTTTAACTCACCATACTTTTTGTTGGCATTATCTTAAATCAAACAAAGGGGTCGCCAGTGGCGTTGTGTTGTTGCAGCTATGGACAGGCCCAAAAATGTCTTTTC